TTCCAAGTAAGAAATGTATTCAATGGTTTTGGATTTTGAGAAATAAAAAGAGGTTTAGAATTTTGAAGATTGTGAGAATGTCATAGTACATTTATGTATGAAATTTTGTGAATTTATTACTGTGCTTTTCTTAAATTTATTTTAAAAATTTGATATTGATCAAATATTTAGATTAAAGAATATAAGAAGTTTATTAGATTAAATTTTTGAATATTTAAAATTTAGGGTCAATGAGAGTTTCTATAATTTTGTAAAATTTTCCAATTTAATTAAAGCAAAAATTAGGAAGAAAAATTTGGACTTACAAACCTATATGCCAATTATATTTTGAAACAATTGAGCAATTCAACTAGAATAAATCATTGCTAAAATAACAACATCTATGTTAGAGAAGGAGGACTCTTGACATTTAAGAGGTATAGGAGTTTTTCTTTTAATTGGTGGATACAATTTTCTTCAAATTCTATTTACTTATCAATTTCTTGTAAATTAAAATATGAGTGAAATTTTAACTAAGATCAAAATTTTAATTAATATCTATTGAGATTTTAAAACAGCTATAGGATTTACTTAGGATTTACTTAGGATTTTTTTAGATTTTTTTAGGAATTTTTTAGAAGTGGGTTCAGATATAAGATTTGATTAAAAATATATTAGGATCTCATTAGAATTTGGCTAAAGTTTTATTAGGATTTTATTAGGGTTTGTTCAGAATTTTGTTAAGATTTCTTTAGGATTTTGTTATGATTTCATTATGATTTCATTAGGATTTTTTTAGGATTTATTCAAATCTTATATCTATATTAAGGTTTTATTAGGATTTATTTAAGATTTATTTAAGATTTATTTAAAGTCTATTTAATATTTTTATTTAGGATTTTTATTTTTAATATTTTAAGGATATTTTTATTATATTTTAAAGATTTCTATATTTTGTATTTTTTAAGGTTATTTATTATTTCTTTAAATTTTTATTTTAATATTTCTTCATATTTTTTATTATTTTTTAAAGATTAATTTATGACTTTGTCATATTTTTTTATAAATTTCTTTAGTTAAAGTTTAATAATAATAATAACCATACTAAAGATATATGACAAAGATAATTTCTTTTGGTTATGGATATCATAAGATATCATAACTTCTTTTGGATTGGTTAAAGTTTAATTAAGTTTATTAAGATTTTATTATAATTTTTTCAAGATCCTACTAGACTTGTTAGGATCTTATTCTTACATTTTTCTATTTACCTTCTGCAACTAGGTACTCGATGTATTTTCAAGCTAAAGTTCATGTTGTACAACAATGTTGTTTTGCAAGATTATGCTTGTATGTGTACTTATATTGCTTGTCCTTCATACAACCTTCATAAGGATAGAAAAGTGTTTTGTTTTTTTTTTTAAGTTTGAAATCACATAAACTATTATAACTATTCATTTGATGAATTATCAATACATTGACATACCCTATCCTGTCATGCCATAACTAGATTTGATATATTGATGTTGAGTTGTGAATTGAAAGGGTAGTATTTCATATTAATTAAAAAGAAGCAGTTTTTATTGGTAAATTGTCATGATCAAATAGATTTGTAGTTTGAAAGATGTCAATAGAAATCTATAGAAGTATCACCTAAATAGAAATTGATATAGTTTTTGTAATTGGGTGCTTTTGAAACTTTTTTGTTACTTTGTGTTTAAAACTGACATCAGCTAAGGTAAGTGATAAAATGAGAGGTTGATCTTTTAAACAAATTTGACTAAGAAGTAGTTGTGTTTTAGCTAAGATACATAAAAAATATCATGTATGATAATTTTTTGAAACTTGCCAATAAACAATTTATATGAATATTAATACAACTACAAATCCATGATTTGATGTCATGTACAATCTGTATTATATGAATACATTCAAGAATGTATTCCAATATTGAGAACCATATGCACTTTATTATCAAAAAAATTCCATGAAGAGTAAAAATACTTTCAAGTATTTTCTTCAAATGCAAAAAATAAAGTTTTTATTATATTACAATAGCTAAGAAATAATTATTAAGTTTCGTAAGGATTTCTTGAAAAATAGATTTGCTAATAAACATCCTAGTGTTAGTGTTCTTTTTATCTTAAGTATCAATTGCAAGTTGATTATTAAGAATAATGTTATATGATTTGATAACTATTTTTTTTCAAGGTTGTGAATCACTTTTAAAACTTTATTTGCTTTAAATATAATTTCTATGTAAAACTTCCATACATAAAATAGAATACCATCAAACATCTTAATTGGAATCTTATTATGTTTTTCTATGATAAAAAATAATTTTTAAATCACAAAAAGAAACAAAATAAGAAGAACTTTGTATACAACATAGGTTTTTTTTTTTTTTTTTTTTTTTTTTTGAGAGTGTGATGAAAAAAAAAAAAAAAACAAGAGATGGAGTAAAGAAGGAAGATTCATGAATACATTTAGTACAATAAAGAAATCAATAAACATAGTATCTTCAAAGAAACAAGAAAACAATAAAAATGTGAATTAATAAATGTATTGCAATGTACTTGCAAGAAAGAGCTTATAAACTAAAGTGTTTTATTACTCTCATATACACATGTTGTATAGTAGTAAAAAAATCTTTATTCATTTATATATAAAGTATACTTGTTCAAAACCAATTTTTTAATGACATATAATCAAATATTCTCTGATTTTTTCTTCTACAAATTACTTACAACAATATGGTGAACTTCAAGAAATAGCCAAATGGTCAAAAAAATCCTAGATAGAATAGATTGGATGTACAGTATAAATAGATATTTCATCTGATAATTGATTCTACATCACTTTGATATTATTGATAAATATGTATTTTTAGCTACATAATTACATCTCAATAGGATGCATTAGGTAATGAAACCAATCTTGAAACCTCCTAAATTTAAATACTAGACTTGTAAGAATAGTTTTTTCAATCTATTTTTCTTCTCTGTGATATTTTTATTAAATTTTATAAAAGTTTATGAAAAACTTTGAAAGATGATGAAAGATTATGAAGTACTTAAAATGTAGATTAAAAAAATAAAAGGTATGGATACTTATACATTAAAATTGTTGAGATTGAAGGACATTATTTTTTAAAAAATTGATTGGATTATATAGGGTTTTTTTTATTTTAGTACCTACATAACTCTTGGATGATGATAGATTGGTAGTTTGTGTAGAGTAAAAAAATACCAAGAAAAGTATAACCTTGTATTTATTCAAAATTACTTTGATCCTTAAAATGGTCTTTAATAATTATACTTTTATTTTTACTTATATTATAATTTTTTATATTTTTAGCATTTTAAAACATCTTCTTATCTATATCTTTTATTATTTACTACAAAAAAATTATTTATTTATTGTTAGAATGAATATATTATGTGTAAAAATATAGTTTCTTAAAATGTTAATTTATATATTTTTTTCTTTATAAAAATCAAAATAAATTAAAATTTATATTAAATAGACCTTTACTAAAATGTTTCATCCATCTTAACAATTATTATATAAAAAAAATAACCTCTAGAATCATTTCTCTAATATTGGATCCAAAACCAATAAAATCCAACCACATTCATCATGATTACCATATTCTTTATTAAGCATACATCAAATTAGTAAAAATTTATTTTTTATTTTTTAAAAATATTTATATAATTAGATAAAATTATTTTTTTGAAAAATATTGCTAAACTAAATTATATAAATTACTTGATTAAAAAAATATGGAATATTATTATTATGCTTTTTTCATAAGTGATTAGAGTTCATTATTTCTTGTCCAAAATATTTCTGTTAGTTATTGTTCTTTTTTTTTTTTTTTTTTTTTTTTTTTTTTTTGTAATATGGTTTACAATCAAAGTTAAAAAAATGTAGATAAAATTTGAAAATATAATTGAAAAAATATAAGTTCTTATATTTTATTTCCTTCAATTTACTTAGTTCATTGTTACATTTTACATTAATTTATGACCTCCATCATTAAACAGCAGAATGTATATTTTCAAATACTGTAATTTTGAGTTATAGAATTTTCAAAACAACTCTAACATTTTAATGAAGCAATTTTCTCTTTATTAATTAAATTTTATTCAGAAAGTATAATAATTATTTCTTTAAATCATTCAAGAAAAAGAAAAGAAAATGCACTCTTTTTGCCAAAAGCACTCGTCTGTTATTTTAATTTAATACCTATAGTTTATTTACTTCGTCACATGAATAAGTCTTCTATTGAACAAAAACACTAGATAAATATTAAAGGCTCTTCTGCCGAATGGAAAATAAGATTGCTCGCATTAATGCAAAATACGGCAACAAAGTATAAGTCGTACGTATTTACATTGAAGTCTTTGAGGATGTCAAGTTAAGTAATTTTCTTTGAGGAAAGGCTAGTGAATTCATAAAACTCAACGATGAATTCAAGTGGATTATAGTGAAAGAATTCATCTCCAATTAAGAATAAAAGGAGGATAATTTTAATTTTTGGAAGTTACCAAAGGACACTGTGACTTAGAGATGGGGTAGAGTAATAGCATTAGCACAAGTCCACACATGCCAATTGCACCCAGATTTGGGAGCTTCGGAACAATTCTGGGATGCATCCTCTATCCGTGGGGATATTTCACCGCAACACTCGGGACGTGCCTTGGAGTTTAAAAACTTGTCATGAGTACCCTGCCACGGCGATTTGTACTTCGTTTTTGAGGGCTGTAGTATATTTTGCTACCCAAGGCACTCGGAAATTGGGGCCAAATGTGTTTGTTTTAATTGATTTTTCCTGCAGGAGCGTGAATTTTGAAGTGGTCCAGAAGAATCACACCATCTAAGCTGAGACCCGGGTAGCGATGTAACGCTTTTAGCAACGAGAGCGATCTCTTGTCCGCACTCACACGAAACATGGCACATGAAATTTGTTCGTTGGAGGCACCCATTCCTCGAACAAGCACGTATACACAAGCAGATCTCGAAGCTGGTTGTCCTCGTGACTTGTGAGTCTCGTGTTACAATTGTTTTTGTCAAAAAGCAGAGGCTTTTAGTTGAGTTGTTCTACTTCGTTTGGACCTATTTCACAGCTCTTCGACCTTGCTGCTGGCAGTCAATGCCAAGCCACTAAGCAGACCATTCTTCTTCACTAGAATCGCAGAGATTGCAATCAAAGCTCCAACTTAACAGATTTTTGCGGAAATTTTTAATTACCTACACCTGAAAACCTACATCCATCACGGAGTCGTGAAATGCTCCGATCATTTAGTTTCAGTCTTCACAGCCAATCATGGAACTTTGGTAATGCATCTTTCTCCATCATCCAGAATTCAACCGACCTACCAATTTAGCTGGAACACATAATAAGTGCTTCAATATCAAATATGCCATGCTCTTTATGAGCAAGACATGCTTGGGACATGTCCATCCCGTTGATTTAGCACTACTCTCCTTCATCCGAATCTATACACAATTGACTCATTCGCAATCAGCCCAACACGAATGCAACATCCTATTTCAAAATTGATCCTTATTCCCGGATTGAAATCACCGATTAGAGGGCTCCCTCCGCATTCCTCGCTCTAGATCGTCCAATTTACCGTCCGAGATTGCATCTGCAAGCTCCTCCCGTGGCAAGGGCCGGGCCAAGTGCGTGGGGCGCTCCTCCCCCGCCATGATCACGCATGACACAGGCTCGGCCCCTGCGACACTCCCCTTGGCAACATTCCCTTTAGAATTTGCGCAAGCTTGCGTTTGGCGAGCTCCAGCTGCAGCTCCAGATCCTGACGTCTCATCCGCAGCGCCGGGCCAAACATACATGACATGATCCGATCCCATTTGTTGCACCCTATTGCGAGCGTTACGAAGCCGCTGGGTTAACCTCCTCCGCTTGCAATAAACGCAGCAGAAAAAGAGGACGGTAATACTGCCCAGAACAACCATGGCGGCGATCGTAGAGATGAAGTAGAATACCGATGAGGAGTAATTCCGGGAGCATTCGTCTCTGGCGGCGGAGCCATATCTGTTTTGGCATCCGCTCATCGTGCCGACTGGTTCTAATCACAACTTGATTCCACAGACTTCGATGACTAATCTGCACGAAAGATTAGACATTTATTAGCTGAAGCTACTGCACTGTTCAACTCAAACGAAAAACTCTGTCCGAGAAAGAAATCGGGGGAATTTCAACCAAAGAAAAGAATATTCTGCTATCTGGAGATTACCTGGTCAGCATTTAGAGCCTCCCGACGACATGGAGGAGGTTCGAAATCTAAGAACGAAACGGCATAAGAAAGGAGTAACCACGGCCTGTGCAACGAGATCGCAAAAGAATTCGACCTGCAACGGGGTTCAAATATCGATGAGGAGCGGAGGCAGTATGAAGCTCGAAAATAGAGATGCAATTCTGGGAAGAACAAGCCGGAGTTGGAAAAGAGACTCTAATTTCGACTTTGGCCGGTCGGGTATGGGCTTCTCACCACCCTTCGAAGCCAAGCTATGGTTGACAATTAAACAGTACGACCTTAAGGAATCGTTTGCGCCATCCCCAAAACGCAAGACGACTGTGTCTCGCAACGCACCCCACAGAATCTTGATTATCTCCTCAAAACGAAACCAAAACGAACAGCAGCTCTCTCAGAAGAGCTCCCGTTCACGCCGCCCTGTTGCGAACTTCCAACTTCCACAACGGGAACCAAGCCGAGGACGCCCTTCACCACTAGTCGGCCGAATCACGGTACCACCGAGGCTCCCGAAGCGTCAGAGTGGCGATTGCACGTCCATCGCCGCACACGATTCCCCTACAGACCTGCTCACACCCACTCCAGCTCTGTGTCCGCTCCAGCTCCGGAGGCAGCTGCAACCCATGCTCCTCCGACGATGATTCGATCCACGCAGGGCGAGAAACGACGAACGAATGGGCGCCATTCGCAACTCATTTCTCGTTTTACAACAACGAGTGACAGGAGGCTGGAAGCGACAGGAACGGTTGCGCTAAACCTCGAGAGTTGCTGTAACTTACTCGTCGCCATCGTTCCGGCGCTGGTCCTATACGAAAATCTCTGCACCATGGTGGTGGCGCAGACAGGCCACAGACTGACAACGCAAACCTAATGCCTCCTCATCTGCTGCAAATCTTACCATGGAACCTCCGGTCCCGACAAGAGCAAAAACAACACTACACGTTGAGAATTGGGTGGGGTTCTGGTCTCGGCCATGATTGATCTCAGCGCCCTGCAGGTTTCGCCGCTTTCCCAAACCTGCTGCGTCGAATCTTTCGCATCGTTGTCGTGCGTGTTTGGTGCCTGGATTCGCAAATCCTTGCATCTCATCCAGACGCAACTCCGGTGAGGAGTTGTTTATGTTTGATTCCGTTCTGATTGTTTTAGTGTGTCCACTGCCGCTTCATATTATATAGGGAAAAGCTTGGATCCATCACGATCCTTGCAGGTTTGCTGAAGGCTTTTGTCCGCACCAACTCTCTTGTTTTGTTTTGGTTTGTTTCATTATTCACACATATTGGGTGGACCTGCCACATTGATTGAAGAGGTGAAAAATAAAACCCTGTCTTATATCTTAGTAGTCTTGTTGCAAAGTGGGCATAAAAAAATCTAAATTAGTGTATATTGTACAATTTATTTATTCAGTTAATTCTTGGTTGTTGTATGTATAATTAAATTGCTATATGAAACCCCTTTTATTTTTTTTAATTTGTATTTCTTTTTTAAAATATTTTATATCTATTTAGGTAAATCAATTACTAATCTATTTAAATGTGGATTTGCTCAATTCCAAATTTTATCTAATCTGAGTATATTTTCAAAATCTATAAATTACAAGTTTAAAATGAATAAAGAAGGCAATAATTTAATGAGCTATTATTTATTCTTACTCTTCAATTATTAACAACAATTTATTTATGCCAAATACACCATATTAACATGGTTTCTTTTAAAAAGACACTTAATTTAAGGTGTGGATGTGAGACTTAATTGTAAGAAATCAAAGATTTTAATACATAAAATATATATATATATATATATATATATATATTATAAAATTATGTGTATTATATAAAATTATATATTATATTATAAAATTATCTTAATATGAAGTTATTTTGTTTAATATTTGTCAACATTTTTTTAACTTTTAACCAAAGATGTTATAAAGAATGGAGATTCAATGATTAAAAATATCAAATATTTGATTTATTAATCAATTGTAATATAAATCAACTATTTGATATTTTTAGTTATTCATAGATCTTACATTTTAATCCAATTTTCTACATGAATTCTATAATTGTTTTTAGGCTTCCTTTTATTTTGCTTGTTAAGAACATAAATCTAGACATGTAAATATAAAATATATTCATGTAAAACTAACCAAGAAAAAAAAGATTAATAATATTTATATATTGATAAAATATAAAAATATTATAATAACTGCCTTTAAATATGAAAATTAAAAATTCTAAAATATACAAAAAATATTGAGAAAATTAAAGATGCTTTAAATTTTTCTTTTGATTCATACAAAGATTATGTATGAGCTTTTAAAAAACCTAAAGGTTTATAAACCTAGCATGTAAGTTATTAAAATTTTTATAGTATCTCTTCAAACATAGAAAAATATAATAAAAAAAATTCTATAATCATGGAACATATCTAAGAGTATTTATAGATTTAATTTGATTTTAATAGGTTTTCTTAATTTTTATTAAAAAGACATAATTTAACTAATTTTTTTTACTTATTTCTATTTATTTCCATTAAATTCTATTTAATTCTATTTATCTAAGTAATGTAGCTATTTGTAATAATTTCTTCTTTATTAAAAGACAATCTCTACAATAAATAGTGAAGTTGTTTAAAAACTAATAAAGTCCAAAATGTGTTAGATGGTATTTACTAAAAATCTAATCTTTAATTTTTTATAATAAAAACTACTAGGTCCTTTGAGTCATCAATAATGTCTTATATTTGTATAAGAAGGTCACTCAAATATGTTTTATTATTGAGATTTTTATAATTATCTTCAAATAATATATTTAGAATGTCATGAATATCAATATTTAATTTTTAAAATATTACTAAGTACTAAGAATCTTCTTTTATTTTTTTATCTTTTTACAAAAAGATATGTATTTTTTAAATATGTATAAATTGATTACTTATTTTGTCTAGATTCTACCTCACAACTATTAAATTAAGTATTTAGAATCTTTTTTGTTGATTGATTTAAATACAAAAACTTAGTCATTTAATTTTAACTCTAATTTGTTCAAAAAGGTGAATTCGAATAATTTTAACCTAATTTTCTTGTAATTTGGCCAACTATATTGTCTTTTGAGTTGAAAGAGTTGATCTTTTATAACTTGATTTGTATTAGTTGCATCTTCACATTTCAAACCATGGTTGTGTTATGGACATATATATTTACTTAGATTTAAAAATTGGCTACGTCTTGCACATGTTGGTAACTTGTGATGCAATTTGGCCATGTAGCACATATATAAAAAACTTGTCTTATAAGTTAGACACATATTTTGCAAGTTGGATATGTATTGAAGATCTTATAGAATATTGCCATGTATCTTTTAATTAGATAATATATATCGACGCAAGATTGAAGTCTTCTTTATTCTTTTTAATACTTTTCTTGTTTATAGGCTTGTTTCAAGAGTCTCTAGTATTTTTATCTTTGGCAATAGTCATTCTAGTCTAAATATTATGCCACTTTTGAAGAAATATCTATTCTTTTCTAGTAATATAAGAGTGTATTAAATCATTGGTTCTTTGTTATTCATGTCTTGATAATTTGACAAAAGTGCTAATTCATTGTTCTTGTTTTCTTTTAGAAATTAGTGAATCACTTTATTTTTTTATTGTCTTTTAAAAATTGCACACTATCCATCTTTAAATTAATATTTTTTTATTTTCTAAAAAGAATGAACTAACTCTTTTTTGGAAATTTTTATTTGATATTTGAGGTTATAGATTACTCTCTTTTAATTTGACTTGTAAATTTATTAAAATTACTTATTATAGAAATAGAAGAAAAAATTATAAATACTACATTTAACAAAAGTGAAAATAGAATTATAATTATTATAGATTTTTACAAGCTTTTTGGTACTTTTAGGATAGAAATTTTGTATATTACGAATGTCAAGCATAGAGATATTATTCCTATGTATATAAAAGAAATCAATAATAAGGTTCAATATATATGCAATGAAGCTCTGCAATCGAAAAAAGTAAGTATATCAATTTCACAATCAAATTTGAAAAGTGTTGTTGCTACAAGTATAAGAGAGGTAAGAATTAGTATGTCAAAGTAATTTGATAGAACTTGATTAAAAAATTTGAGGATTTCAATAATAAGTCAAATTTTATCAAAAGTTACATCTTTTCTATTATCTTCATGAATTTATTTAAGTAGGATTTTAAAGGTATATTTTTATATAAAAATATTCTCTCATTGTTTGTATCTTTGATGAAAAAAGATTCAAGATTCTTATATGATATAAATTCTTTCTTGAAAGTGTGTACAACCGCATTTAGAAAAAAAAAAATTCTATCTTTATAATAAAAATCATGATCAACTATCATATATATTATTAATTTCCAAAACCTTATATATAACATGAATTGGAATAATAAAGCCTTTATTGATCAAATTTGATATGGATTAAAAGATAATGTCAAAGTTTTATTATTGATAATATCAAAAAAAAAAAATCATTGAAATAATTTATTACTCAAGTTATTACATGCAATAATCAATTTTTTAAAAGATGCCAAGAATAAAGTTTAGATGGAGAAGAAAAAATCAAGTTATGACAACAATTCTTAAATTTTCAAAAACTTATTCTTTAAAGTTTGAACCTATGCAAACAAAAGTTAGTTACATTTTAAAACTCTCATCAAGCAAGAAAAGACTACAAGTTGTCAAAAAAGATTGTGCCTATATTGTGGAGAATCATATTTTACTACTTAAATTTATACAAACAAAAAATACAATCACAAAATCAGAAAGATGGTTGTCAAACAATACAATGTGTTAAAAAGTAAATTTTTTTAGCTAAAATAAGAACCAAGTAGTTGATTTCTTCTACAACATCTAATAAAGGTTATACTTTCTTTTCAAATCCATCATCTCATTTTACAATAAATATTCCTTTAGAACCAAATAATTTCAAAGCCTCTACTTTATTAAATTTAAAAGAAACATTTTTTTATTTATTTTATTATAGACAAAGGCTTTGTTAAAAAAATAAAAAATAAAAAAATAAAAAAGCTTGAGTAAAGAAAACTAAGCATGTATATGTAGAAGTCATAAATAATTTTTTGTTGTTTTCAAGAGATATTAACCATGAAATTATTCCTATATATGTAGCAATTAATGGTCACAATAGCTTAGTAAAATTTTATATTATTAGATCTCTTTTTAATCTAGTTATATTAAATTTACCATAGTTAGAGAAATATAATCCTTGAATAGATTAGATTTCTTATAATCTTGATTTTTTTAATAGCAACAATCAGACTTCTGATATTGAGGTAAAAAATCATAAGTTTAGTGCAACCAAACTCTTATTTGTAAGTACAAGAACTTTCATGCATGTTGCAAAAGAAGAATCATTTTTTATAAATTTATGCTACATCTATTTTTAATAATAAAAAGATATTAAGATACATTTTGAATTAGTATAAGAATTATTAATATATTTTTAATAATAAAAATAAAAATATTCTTTTCGAATATTGTCCTTATAATTACTCAATTGATCTTAAAGAAGGAACTTAACTGCTATTTGCACCAATTTATAGCTTATTTTAAAATAAGTTGGTTGTACTTAATGAATACATTGATGAGAACCTTACCAAAAACTTCATTTATCATTTAAAATCTCCAAGAAAAGTTGCTATCTGGTTTATAAAGAAAAAAGATAGATCATAGATGATGTATAATAACTATTGAGGGCTCAATAAGATCATCATCAAGAACAAATATTTTCTATCTTTGATATTAGGACTTTTTAATCAATTGAATCAAATAAATATCAAAACCAAAATAGATCTATGAAGATCATACAACTTAGTATGCATTAAAAAAAAGATGAATGGATGACTATGATTTAAATCAAGTATAGATATTTTGAATATAATGTCATGTCTTTTAGACTCACAAATGCACTAGCTACTTTTTCACATATAATGAATGATGTTTATTGAGAATTTCTAGATGATTTTATTATTTATTATCTAAGTAATTTTTTTATCTATTCTAATAATATAGAAAAGGATGAATTTTAGGTTTTTTGTATCTTTAAATAATTTAAAGATACAAGATTAAATGC